TGTGCTGTGTGTTTCCAAGCTGCACCCACCACCCACGGAGTCTAGCTCATGGCGGAGTGGCAGCTGGTGTAGCTGACTGCTGTATGGGAAATGGGTCTGCACAATATAAAGACAGCTCACAGGAAAGGAGTCCCAAATGGTACTCTTTTTTTTGAGGTGTTGCCCAGGCTGGAGTGCCGTGGCGCAATCTCGGCTCACTGCAACCTCTGCCTTTTGGATTCAAGCGATTCTCCTGCCTCAGCCTCCCAAGTAGCTGGGATTACAGGTGCCTGCCACCACACCCAGCAAATTTTTTTTTCGTATTTTTAGTAGAGACAGGGTTTTACCATGTGGGCCAGGCTGGTCTTGAACGCCTGTCCTCAGGTGATCCGCCTACCTTGGCCTCCCAAAGTGCTGGGATTACAAGCGTGAGCCATTGCACACGGGCTTTTTTTTTTTTCCTTCTTGAGGTGGAGTGTTGCTCTGTCTCCCAGGCTGGAGTGCAGTGGTGAGATCTCGGCTCACTGCAACATCCACCTCCCAGGTTCAAGCAATTCTCCTGCCTCAGCCTCTGGAATGGCTAGGATTATAGATGCCCACCACCACACCTGGCTAATTTTTGTATTTTTAGTAGAGATAGGGTTTCACCATGTTGGCCAGGCAGGTCGAACTCTTGGCCACCACACCTGGCCCCAAATGGCACTTTGATAAGTTGCTCTACCCAATAATAAAAAAAGAAATACAGATAAAAAATACCAAGGTTGTATAATACATGTGTTGGTGATGCGTTCTGTTTATGGCAAGAGCTGTATTGCTGGATGGAATGTAAGTTGGTGTGGCCCTTTGGGAGGAATTATGGCCTTTTGGCATTCTCTATCCAAACTACAAAAACATGTACCCTTTGACCTGGCCATCTCATGTTGGAACACTGGGATATTTCCCCTATAGAGATAACCTACAGATATTTGTAGGAAAAGAACAGTGCCTGAGGTTATTCATGGAGCTTTTTTTTTTTTTTTTTGGAGACGGAGTTTCACTCTTTTTGCCCGGGCTGAAGTGCAATGGCGCGATCTCAGCTCACCGGAACCTCCGCCTCCCGGGTTCAAGCGATTCTCCTGCCTTAGTCTCTTGAGTAGCTGGGATTACAGGTCATGCGCCACCATGCCTGGCTAATTTTTGTATTTTTAGTAGAGACGGGGTTTCCCCATGTTGCTCAGGCTGGTCTTGAACTCCCGACCTCAGGTGATCCACCCGCCTCGGTCTCCCAAAGTGCTGGGATTACAAGCATGAGCCACCGCGCCCGGCTGGAGAATTTTTATAATAGCAAAAGACTGGGAGTAACTCAAACATCTGTGGATTGAAGACTGGTTCGGCAAATGATGACACATTGTACTCGGCAAGATGCGGAAAAGAATGAGGACGTGCTGTGTGCACAAACATGGGCAGATCTCAGGATGTATTGTGGACACAAAAAGCACAGTGTGGAGCGGGGAGTATGGCATGCCATCTTTTCTGCAAAAAAAAAGCGTGGGTGTAGAGGGGATATAAAAATGTGTCTTTGCACAAACTCTGTTAGGATACACAAGAAACCAACACAAGTGGTGGTGGCCCGTGTGTGGTAGGAGGAGGGAGATGCGGGGAGGGGAAACTGGGTTAGGGAGGAAGATGCGTGAAGAAGATTTTTTTTTTTTTCTTTTCAGAGACAGGGTCTCGCTCTGTGGCCCAGGCTGGCATGCAGTGGTGTGATCATAGCTTGCTGCAACCTCAGACTGTGAAAGAGACTTTTGATGGTGTATCTTTGGGTATCAATTGAATTTTGAAGCATGAATATATTGAACAAAATCGGGAGCAGCTCAAATGTTGAGTATATTATCCATCGTACATTTAATTAAAAAAATTTATAACCTTGTCATGATTCGACTGGGGTTATGCGTTTTTGGGAGGGAGACCCCAGAGGTAAAACGTCAGTTCTTATCACATGTCAAGGTTATGTTCTATCCACACGACTGATATAAATCCCAGTTGCATATCCCTATAATACACCCGACCGAAGACGGAAGCCAGGTGTGGTGGCATGTGTCTGTAGTCCCAGCTGCTGGGGAGGCTGAGGCAGGGGGATTACTTGAGCCCAGGAGTTTGAGGCCAGGTTGGGCAACATAACATAGCAAGACCTCATCTCTCTCAAAAACCACAAAATTGGCTGGGCTCGGTGACTCACGCCTGTAATCCCAGCACTTTGGGAGGCTGAGGCAGGCAGATCACCTGAGGTCGGGAGTTCAAGACCAGCCTGACCAACATGGAGAAACCCCATCCCTACTAAAAATACAAAATTAGCCGGGCGTGGTGGTGCATACCTGTAATCCCAGCTACCTGGGAGGCTGAGGCAGGAGAATTGCTTGAACCTGGGAGGCGGAGGTTGCAGTGAGCCGAGATCACGTCATTGCACTCTAGCCTGGGCAACAAGAGCGAAACTCTGTCTCAGAAAACAAACAAACAAACAAAAACAAATTTGACCAATACCCCTCAAAACTGGAAAAGCTGGTGACCACCACCCCTAGTGCTCCAATAAAGGGCTGTGGGAACAGCTGTGCTCAGGGTGGTACTGGTACAGCCTGGCAGAGGACATGATGCCCGCACAGTGTGGAAAGGTCCTCTGGGATGTTGCTGGGCCTTAGGGGAGCAACACAGGGGAAGAGGTCCAGGCCTAGAGAGGACTGAAGCCCTCCCCAGGGCATGGTGTGGACCACGCTGAAGGGAGGTGGGGTTGGAGACACAGCTGGGAGTCAGATCCCAGGGGCTCTCCTGTGTGACGCTGAATTGCTGGGAAGGGGATGCAAGCGGGAGCACACACACACATATGTACAGGCTGTGCACCCATGCATACGCAGACAGGAGCACAGTCTCTTTCCCGGTGCCTACTCTGATTGGTTGGGTGGCTGCTGAGAGTCTTACAGTGCCCTGGCTCAGTAGGAAGAGCGTGTGTTCATTTAGTGAGTTTGCCAAAGACAAGGGAAGGGGGTTAGAGAGTAGGCGGCAGATAATGTCCGCCTGGGGAGCCTGGAGGTTTTAGGCCAGCAGACCCTGGCCAAGGCTACAGCCAGGCTGTTTTCTGTTCTTTTCCTTAGGTTTTGGGAGACCTTTACCTTTTCAGTGCCTCTAAGACACGGTCAGAGTAGTTTGGTGACAAAGTGGAAGTAAACCACGGGTGAAAAACAGTTCTGGGGATCCTCCTAGGCTTGCACTTATTGAGGATTAGGCAGAACTTGCAGCTTGGCCCAGCTTTCAAAGCAAGGTGTTCTGAGGAGGTGGAAAGACTGGTTTTCAATCAGATAAAGGTAGGATCCTATGAAAAACTTCTAGGGCCTTGCCGTTCCTATGAAGTGGTAGCTATCATCACACTCCTGGTTATGCCATCAAGGTAAAAGAAGGTGGAATAAGAATCAGGGACACTTGAAAATAAGAAAAGAGAAAGACTGTGTGCATGTGCTTGGATGCACAGCCTGTACATATGTGTGTGTGCTCCTGCGTGCACATGCATGGGTGCACAGCCTGTACGTATGTGTATTTGTGCTCCTGCGTGCATATGCATGGGTGAACAGCCTGTATGTATGTGTATTTGTGCTCCTGCGTGCATATGCATGGGTGCACAGCCGGTACATATGTGTGTAGAAAAGAGAAAGATTGTGTGCATGTGCATGGTGTACAGCCTGTAGACATATGTGTGTGTGTGCTCCTTGCAGGCCATGGCGGTACAGCCTGTGCCCAACAGAGGTGGCCAGTTCCCAAGCATATGCATGGTGAACAGCCTTCCAGATGGCGGCTTAGGTGCTCTCAAGTTAGAGTGCATGCACAGCCAGACATATGTGTGGTAAAAGGCCTCATGGGTAAGGGGCGATGTAGCACAGCCGTACAGTAAGGCTCCTGCGCAGACATATAATGGTAACAGCCCAAAGAGCATGGTGGTGCTCCTGCAGGTATGGCTCCTGCGTGCATATGCATGGGTGCACAGCCGGTACATATGTGTGTGTGCGCTCCTGCGTGCATATGCATGGGTGCACAGCCTGTACATATGTGTGTGTGTGCTCCTGTGTGCATATGCATGGGTGCACAGCCTGTCACTACATGTGTATGAGCCTGTGGGTATGTGAGGGGCGTGAGGGGCCCTGAGGGACTGGAAACTTCCTTAAAGGCCATTTGGGAGAGTGCTGCTCTCTATACCACCCACTGTAGGGCAGTTAGGCAAAGGTGTGCCTCCCTTTAAGAGAACCTAGCGGTCAGTCTGTTTTACAACCTAGGTTATCAGGGAGTAGTACTTTGACCTGGAAAAGGAACCTTTATTTTGGAAAAGATTTGTAATCTCTGCGGCTTCTTTGATACACATTGGAAACCTGACTGGAAACTCAGGCCACCAGCATCTGTCGGGGGCACATGTTTGCATTTTTGGTTATGATGCCACAGCTCTGGTTCAGGTATCCTAAAAAAGATAACTAATGGTGAAAATGATTGGTGTAGATTTCATACCACAGAGCACTGCAGTTTGCATAGTATGACACAGTGATGGTGTGGACCCATGGAGAGCCAGCTTCGCAGATGTTAAGAATAGTGACTTTGCCTGACATAATTGGTGTCTGCACATGAGATTATACAAGTAAGATTGATGTGAATTTTGTTCTTTCATTTTTTATGTAGACTCATTGGTTGGGTAACTGTGGAAATAATGTCGCAGTGCCTTTTTAAGTTAAGAAAATGTAGTTATGATCAGGAGCGGTGGCTCATGCCTGTAATTCCAGCACTTGGGGAGGCTGAGGTGGGTGGATCACCTGAGTTCAAGACCAGCCTGGCCAACAAGGCAAAACCCCGCCTCTACTAAAAACACAAAAATTAGCCAGTTGCCTGTAATCCCAGCTACTCGGAAGGCTGAGGCAGGAGAATGACTTGAACCCAGGAGCTGGAGGTTGCAGTGAGCCAAGATCACACCATAGCACTCTACCGTGGGTGATAGAGGGAGACTCCATCTCAAAAAGAAAAAAAAAAAAAGATAAAATGTAGTTATGAAAAGGCTTCTAAGCATTTTTAAGCATTTTATATTAAAACAGGAATTCAGAACAAATCACAGCAAACAACAAAAAAAAAGACTGGGGATGGAAGAAATTCAATTTTAAATATAAACTTTGACAGGTGGGTGGCGAATCTGGGTGTTGTGAGTCATTTCCTGGCTTGTTTGCCACATGGCCTCCTCTATAAGTGTCACCCTAATTGATGTATTCGTTTGGGGTGGGTGCTCTTCTGAAGTTTTTGTTTCTCCCTTTCTTTGGGGTGCACTGGGTGTGCGTGGTAGGAACTAGGGCCGTGGAATTAAAGAATCTTGAGTTTCTAATGCAAATTCAGTCCCAAGCAGTGTGACCCGGTTGCTTAACTCCTTTGGGCCACCCCCGCCCATGGCCCTCATCTGTACCCTGGGGATAATATAATAGTATGGACTTTACAGGCTTTTGGCAAGCAAATGAGACGATGTAGCAAAACACTCAGCCGAGAGCGTAGCACCAATTGGCCTGTAATCCATGGTGCACCGACACAGCCATTCCCTGGATGTGGCCTCTTCTGCCTCCACTGTGAGGTCAGAGACCTAGTCACTGCAGGGGTAACCTCTCCTTGGCAAGCAGCGGGAGTCATTTCATCCCAGCCTTTCAGGAGGGTGAATCTGCACCTGGGGTCCAGAGTCTCAGAGATGAGACTTGAGCCAGGCGCTCATTCATCATGACTCAGGCTGTAGAGGCTCTAACCATGGTTTCTCCATGCAGGAGTGAGGTTGGGACAAGAGGTCTTTCTGGGGGCTCTGTGCTCTGTGGCCCCTGCTGCTCTGGACTGGTTCATTGGAGAAACCTGTCACATTCTTTAGACCGGTTGCCACACCATGCTCATAGTCTCTGTTCTTGCCATCCTAGGTGGGAAGTGAGTGATGACCCTGAAGTGAGGGCTCATCTCTCGATCTCCAAGGGCTGCAGCTCAGCCAGCACTTTTCAAAGGTGATCTGGAGCTAGCCTGGCCTGTTGGCTGACCATAGGTGACTTTAGGTAGCCCATTCCCAGGCTCAGCGGCAGTCGGGGAGCTGCCTCGATTTCTGGTGACAGAATTCCTGGGACTGAGTCACTGCAGTAAGTGCTGTGATGAATTGTGTTTACTTTGTGTGGGATTCCGAACTGTAGCAGCAGTGACTGCAGCTGGAAGACAGCGTGATCAGCAGCTTCCAAGGCAGAGTCTGGCGTCAGAAAGCTGCATTGCACTAATGCTGAAGCCCGTGGGAGCCCATTGGAGAGACACTTGGATGTTTAGCGGGCTGGTGACTCTCCTTGTCATGAGTAATCTTAGGACCTTGGGCAAGTCATCCAAACTCCTCTGGGCATGTCATTCTCCTGCTTGGAGGCCTTGAGGCAGAGAGGCAGTGAGGCGAAGTGGTCAGTGCATGGACTCTGCCTCTAGCCTGCTGAGGTTTGAATCCACCTGTGTGATCTTGTATGATATTAACTTCTCTGGCTCTCAGCTCTCTCATGTGTGAAATAGGAGATTTTAACAGTATCTATTTCATAGGGTTGGTGTTTGAACGAGTTAACATATGTCAAGTGAGTGGTACAGTGCCTGGTGTCCTGGCAAGTTTGCTATCAGGATTAAGGCAGGAGCCCTTGGCACGCACTAAAAGCTCAATAAATATGAGCTGATGTTTTTGGTCCTTTATTACTATTCAAGAAGCCTGCCCAGCCTTCCTCCCTCCCCATCCGCACAGCAGCCTGGTACCCGCTGTTCTCTAGGTTCTGGCCATATGTCATGACATGTTCTGATGATCTGGCTTCTCCCCTTAGACAGTGGGGCCCTCGAGGCAGGCCCACAGGACTTGGTCCTCACTGCCTCTGTGGCGCCTGGCACCGGGTCCAGCTGACGTGGAGAGGGACTCAGGAAACAGTGGCTGAGTGTGACTTTGGCTGGCGTAGTGGTTGCTGGGAGAACAGACAAGGTTCTCTCTCATGATGTACAGATTTCAGATCAGGGAAAGTCCCGGCTGGCATAAGTTTATCGAGCATCTCCCATGGGCAAGATAGGCTGTGGCCGGAGCCTTGAAGTACACAGTAGAAGGAGAGCGAGTCTTCCCAGGCCAGGGCTTCAAGTGAGGAGACAAGATGTAGCCTCCCAGAGAATTCCCAGAATGCAATCGTGAAAAGAACCATGCCCAGCAGGAGGCAGGGGAAAGTGACTCCTGAAACTCTAGGAAGGCTTCCTGGAAGAGGTGGAATGTGAGCAGCATAGGATTTTGAGAGAAGAAATGGAATGGGCTGAAGGAGATTCTGCTGGTGGAGGCTCAGGTTGACCTAAGGGCTAGCAGCAGTGGAGGCCCCCCACAAGTGATTTTGAGGGGGCTCTTTAGCTCAGTCTAGTTGAGGTAGAGGCTTTCCGTAGGGGTGTGGTGTGACCTGAATGTTGGGCACATGGTCATAACTGAGCTTTAACGTGATGACTCGAGCCTGTAATCCCAGCACTTTGGGAGATCAAAGCTGGGGGATCACCTGAGATCAGGAGTTCGAGACCAACCTGGGCAACATGGTGAAATCCTGTCTGTACTAAAAATACAAAAATCAGTTGGGCATGGTGGTGGGCGCCTGTACTCCTAGCTACTCAGGAGGCTGAGGCAGGAGAATCACTCCAACCTGGGAAGCGGAGGCTGCAATGAGCCGAGATCGTGCTGCTGCACTGTAGCCTGTCTCAAAACAAAAAACAAAAAACAAAACAAAACAAAACAAAAAAACAAAACACTGTCTCAAAAAAAAAGTCAATAAAGAGAGAGGGAAGAAAGGCGGGGCACGATGCTATTTAAGTCTCTGAGCATCTTATAGCGTTGTTTACATCCCAGCTTTTCACTGACCCTTCCTTTACCCCGGCCCCCACCCCATGGTCCTTGTTCTGTCCTGCCCTTTTCTGTCCTGCGTTTTCTCTTCCCGGCTGCTCTGTCCCCAGCCCCATGTGCCAGCTTGATTCAGCCTGGCAAGGAGGCCTGCTGGTATCCCAGCCATTTCCTGCCCCAAGGTGCCCACCCTCCTCCAATCAGCACGGCCTTGCCCTACGTAGGCATGACCTCGCCCCTGCGGCAGCCGGGAAGCAGAGCTCCTGTTTCTTGCCTGTTTACCCTGGCGCAGGGACAGGTAGATCATGTGGCACTGCTGGGATGCCAGCTGCATGAGTCTCCGGCAGTGGGCACAGGCGGAGGGCAGGGGGCATTCTTCTGGACTGACTTGAGCCCGGCCTGCCTGGCACGAGACCCCCCTGCTCCTGGAGGCAGCTCAGGGCCTTGCTCACCGCTGCCCTGGCTCTGCACTGGGCCGCTGAGTCATCACTCAGCAGTAAGGCCTCTGAGTCACGGCGCAGCCCTGGACTGGACAGTGAGTGCTTTGTGAGACCCTCCTGGGCTTTCCTGTCCCTCAGAGCATTTAAAGGGGTCCCAAATTGTCATGTGACCCTCTCTGATGCTAAAGAGACACTCTAGGTCTTTCGTGCCCTGGTCATTTTACAGAGCTGTGGCCGGATGCCAGGCATTCAGGGACATATTCCTCAATCTCGATCCGCCTCACAGGATCCAGCATCGGAGAGTTCAATTCAAGTCAGCAGCCGAGTTCCAGGAAGGCAGCCAGGGTGGTGATTCAGCAAGTCCAGACAGGAGTGAACCGGGCAAGATTTTGGGAGGAGAGGGCTGGGTCGCGTGTCCCGGCAGGGCCACAGGAAGAGCGTACACATCTCCTGTGTCTTGCGTACTTTGTGAGTGTCTTGAAATGACCTTGAGAATCTCCCCGATACCATGAAGAAGCAGGTGCAGGAATGCCACTTATCCATTGGCACAGGCCAGCATGCTCAGTGTGCACCGAGGTTGTGAATTCTTGTCCTGACCCAAAGATGCTGATGCTGTGCTTATACCCATTTCACGGTTGAAGAAACCGAAGGTGTAGTAGGAGAAGACACTGACTCAGAATCACAGAGCTAGAAAGCAGCATGTCTGGGATTTGACCCAGACCTGTCTAACTCAGTTTACTATTCTAAACTACCTGATTCGTTAGGTTTCTCTCCTCACTCTCTGTCTCTCTTTCTCCCACGTGACTGCTGGAATCTTCCCTAAGGACCAAAGCTGTCTGCAGTGCAGGAAGCCAACTATTAAGGGGAAACAAAAGTGTTCTTAGGAGTCCTGCTGTCATTGTGAATTGAGCCGGTAAAGCCCCGAGGGGTTTCATCACCGAGGTGGATGGAGAAGCAGCTGGGGGCCTTGACTTTAGTAAGGACCCCTAAGGGTTAGTGTCTGGAGCTTGGGGGATGGGAATGGGTCGTGGTGTGCGGAACTTGGCTAGCTCGTTGACTCCTAGGGGAAACTTAGACTTGTTGAGTCTGTAAGGTGTCTCTGGCCTTCGAGAAACCCTCTAGGGTTCAGGTTCCAGCTTCGCCCTCCTTTAGTCAGCTGGCTTTGTGGGGGCTCTTTCTGCTGGACCTGGCAGACGCCGGACTAGAGCGGTGCTTCTAAAGTGTAGCCCTTCCCTCTCCCGGGAAGGGGGCATCTGCAAGCGGGTGAGGGGATTGGAATCTGCCTTCATAACACACTCCCCAGGAGAGGCCGGAGAGCACCTTTCTCGGTGACCTCCCGTCATCTCAGGCCTCGGCGGACTGAGTGGGAACCCCCAGCAGCCAGGTTGCTCAGGACAGCATTTTTCTTGGGCCTGTGTCTGAAACAATTGTCCTTTAAACTAATCACTCACCTGTAGAAATGGATAGACCTCATGTGAAAATGAACATTTCTGGCTTCCCTCATGGGGAGCGGAGGCATGAAAGGTATGGCCGGTAGCGGGGGGGCCCCACACCTGTGCAGCCGCCCTGGCTGGAGCCCACAAGCAGTGTCCCCTGGTCATGCCCCACTCCCTTCTCCATAATCTCGCCCCTCCCTGACCAGGCCACCTGACGTTGCCATTTATATTCAAGTTCATTCCATTGTTATTCTTTTAGACATGAGAGATGAGAAGTATTTCTTGTGCCTACATCTTTATCAAAAGTAGAGCGAGAAACTTGAGGACCCTATGTTTCTAGAAAAACGAGAGTGGGCACCCCTCTTCCCTGAAAGGAAGAATTTCCATATCTGCCCTCCACCCAGGGTGTAGGATGAGTGTCCTTTTGGTGTGTGGAGGACTTTGATGGGTCATGTGATGTGTAGGGCTTAGCGGGTATGCTGGGGTGGCTGGGAAAGGTGGCTGGGTGTCCTGGGAAGGCTTTTATAGACACTACGTGGCAGGCCTAGGACCCTAAGTGCTTCCAGCCAACTGTACACACAAACACACACACACACACACACATATGCACACACATATATGTATTTTTGAGACGGAGTCTCGCTCTGGAGTGCAATGGCATGATCTTGGCTCACTGCAACCTCCACCTCCCAGGTTCAAGCGATTCTCCTGCCTCACCTGCCTCAGCCTCCCGAGTAGCTGGGATTACAGGTGCCTGCCACCATGCCCAGCTACTTTTGTATTTTTGATAGAGACGAAGTTGCTCCATATTGGTCAGGCTGGTCTCGAACTCCTGACCTCAAGTGATCCGCCTGCCTCAGCCTCCCAAAGTGCTGGGATTACTGGCATGAGTCACTGCGCCTGGCCCCAGTGGAGTTTTTGTTGAGTACTAAAATGGAGTTTTTGTTGAAGACTAAATAAGTCAATGACAGTGGAGTATTATCATTATCCCCATTCAATAGTTAAGGAAATTAAGGTTTAGAGAGTCACAGTACCTGGTCCTGGCTACACAGCCAGTCAGGAGCAAGCCTAACATTTAGGCCTAGAGTGCTCTCCTAACCGCTGTGCCTGGGGTGGGAGGGAAACCTTCTATCCTTGTGTCATCCCATTTGATAGATTAGCTACTGAAACTGAGGCTAAAAAAATCTGAGGGCTGGGCATGGTGGCTCATGCCTGTAATTCCAGCACTTTGGGAGGCCGAGGCAGGTGGATTGCTTGAGGTCAGGAGTTTGAGACCAGCCTGGCCAACATGGCGAAACCCTGTCTGCTAAAAATTAGCTGAGCATGGTGGTAGGCACCTGTAATCCCAGCTACTCGAGAGACTGAGGCAGGAGACTTGCTGAATACAGGAGGAAGAAGTTGCAGTGAGCCAATATTATGCCACTACACTTCACCCTGGGAGACGGAGCAGGACCCTGCCTAAAAAATAGTAATAATAGTTATATAATAATAATCCGAGAGTCCTTCCCATCTGCCTACATGGTACTGGGATACCGAGATGAATAAGACTTCTTTTGGGCTCTTGATGACATTGGTTACAAGAAGAGGCAGCTTGGTTCCCCCAGGGACTCTCAACAGTTAGGGACAGGCTGGGGCATGGTGGCTCATGCCTGTAATCCCAGCACTTTTAGAGGCTGAGGCAGGAGGATGGAGTATGTCCAGGAGTTTAAGACCAGTCTGGACAACGTAGTGAGGCCCCATCTCTACAAAAAATAAAAAATTAGCTGGGTGTGGTGGTGTGTGCCTATAGTCCCAGCTACTCAGTAGGTGAAAGAGGAGGGGATGGGAGAATCAGCTGAGCTCGGGAATTGGAAGCTGCAGTGTGCAGTGATCATGCCACTGCACTCAATCTAGGTGACAGAGTGAGACTCCCTCAAAAAAAAAAAAAAAAGCAATTAGGGACAAATAGGGAGGAACATCCTATTTGTTTTTTTACCCTCATGTTCTTCCCTCTCCTGGCATTGCCTGGCACATAGAAGAAGTTTCATAAATATTGGTCGAATGAGTAAATTAAACACAAAGGATATTAAATCATTTGTGTTTTCTTTTGTGAGTTGAAACCATCTTCAAATGAATCTTCAAAGTGCTCTGATTCATATGGTGGACTGGGATGAAGTTAAACTCTGGGTTGAGAAGAGAGGAAATGAGAATTAAGGAAATAAAGAGAATGGAGTTGAATGTTAAGAATCTTTGGAGTGCTGTCAGGGATCCATGATTCTGAATTCGGTTATCATCTTCGGTGTGAGAAATCTCCAAAGATTCAAAGTTGTCACCGAAAGGTGATCTTAGGCTAGGTGCGGTGGCTCACACCTACAATCACAGCACTTTGGGAGGCTGAGGCGGCTGGATCATTTGAGGTCAGGAGTTTAAGACCAGCCAGTCCAACATGGTGAAATACAACATGGTGTATTTCATGTCTCTACTAGAAATACAAAAATTAGCCGGGCGTGTTGGCGGGCGCCTGTAATCCCAGCTACTAGGAAGGCTGAGGCAGGAGAATCAACTTGAACCTGGGAGGCGGAGGTTGCGGTGAGCGGATATTGTGCCACGGCACTCCAGCCTGGTTGACAGAGTGAGACTCTGTCTCAAATAAATAAATAAAAATAAAAGATGGTCTTGAGGTTTCAGTTTGGGCGTAGGTTACCTTCTGCAGAATGCGTGTGAGTGATATGGAGACAAGTTTTAACACGGGTACTTTTTGAAAACAGACATCTTAAACGTTGGCCAAAAGGCCGGATGTCAAAGTGGACTTTCTATTTTTGATGGAAAATTTCAAGCCTGTATTCTCTAAAGGAACGATTATTGTACAAGGATTTCCGGAACTGCAACTGCCTAATAGATGGTGGTCATTATGGTAGTTTTCTATGAAATCTACTAATGTACAGTAAGCAGTACTGTGACTTTGAGTCACCACTTGGTTTCTTTTTTATTGTTTTTCTCTTGTGACTACACTTGAAGGTTTTTTTTTTTTTTTTTTTTTTTTTTGTGACAGGGTCTTGCTTAGGCTGGAGAATAGTGGTGCTATCATAGCTCCTTGTAACCTTGAGCTCCTGGGCTCAAATGATTCTCCTCTCTCAGCCTCCTGAATAGCTGGGACTTTAAGTGTGTGCTACCACGCTTGACTAATTTGTTTACTTTTTGTAGAGACAGGGTCTTTTTTTTTTTTTTTTGAGATGGAGTCTCCCACTGTCTACTGGGCTGGAGTGCAGTGGCACGATCATGGTTCACTGCAACCTCTGCCTTCCGGCTTTAAGCGATTCTCCTGCCCCAGCCTCCCAAGTAGCTGGGTTTACAGGCACCCACCACCACGCCCAGCTAACTTTTTGTATTTTTAGTAGAGACAGGGTTCCACTATGTTGGCCAGACTGGTCTCAAACTCCTGACCTCGTGATCTACCTGACTCGGCCTCCCAAAGTGCTGGGATTACAGGCATGAACGACCATGCCCAGCTGAGACAGGCTCTTGCTATGTTGCCCATGCTGGTCTTCAACTCCAGAGCTCGAGTGATTCTCCTGCCTTAGCTTCCTCAAGTACTGGGATGACCAGCATAAGCCACCATACCCGGCCTGAAGGCTCGTTTGTAATGGCACTCTCAAGTGAGATAAATTGAGTATTTTCTTCCTCACAACCTTCTTATGCTTGTCTGTAGTTGGCTTTCTCATTTTGGACAATTTTGATTGTTGGCTTGGCTATTCAACTGCCTGCGTTCTTGTATTCTTAGAACATACAGAACAACCAGTTGTGGGCTTCTTATATTGTGAGGCAGGTGAAGAAAGACTAGGAACAGTGTATTTGGGTGCCCACCTCATGCCGGGCATGACCTTTTATTGAGGAACAACTGGTAGATGAAGCAACTTGCTCATGCCATGCTGTGGCCAAGTCCAAACTTGAACTCTGGTCTCTGTTTTTGGAGCTTGCTTCCTTCCTACCACCCTAGATTGCTCCTCCTAAATCATTAAGTGGCAAACATGGCACAGACAGTAACCTCACATAAGAAGCTGTGAGGTTGGGACAGAAATATCCACTGCTGGCCTGCGAACTATTCACACAGGTCTGACTCCCCGCCAGGGTCCTGGCTGCCCTGGTCCTGTGGAATGCCATCATGGCTTCTGTCTAAACCGAGCAGGGCCGGGGCCATGCTGAATTTGGAGAAATCTGTGCAGGCGTCAGATTTGGGCTTTAGAGTCACCTGGGGTTGAACCTCGGGCCTGCTATTTATTGAATCTCTCCTGGCCTCAATCGTCTTGTCTGTGAAATAGGGATGATACCATCTAGGTCAAAGGTAGCTGCACCAGATTCTCCTGCAGGGAGGCCCTTGGCCTCATTTGTTTCTTTGTCTCTACAAGCAGAGAGGCTGAGTCACACAGATCCTGAGGGGAGATCACTTTCTCTTCCCTCCTTTCGTGTGTCATCTCCGCCTCCTTAAGCTTGTATTATCTGGGTGTGGTGAGCCTCAGGAATAATGCTGTGACATCAAGCCTCTTGAACACCTCCTTTCACACGGGCCCGTGACTGGC